TAATGTTTACGTCCTGATACTTGACATCTCTTCTCTGCTATTATCTTTCCTATTTCGGGAGAAATTTTGTTTGCAGTGATAACTTTCAACGCTGACCCAAGGTGAGCATCATTAATACGGTTTCTAATAGGAGACTTATTACCTTTCATGACTGAAAATAACTGCTCGCACCGATAAGTGCTACCAAACATGGAAATAATTTCATATGCGAATTTTCGAGTATTTTCAAACCTGGCTGGTAAATATTTGTAAAATTCAGGCACGCCCACTTCAATGAATTTTGCTTTCAAATTTGAGTTGCATTGAATCTCGATCACCTCCATTTGCATATGGCTGGGTACTGAGTCAATACTTATTGAGAAAATCGAAGAAAACAAAAAAAAAAAAAAATTGTCTTCGAGGGAACTAAAATCATTAAACCTCGTTTCAAATTCAGTTGTTAAATTTGCAATTTTTTCTGCGTATTTTTGATACGAACAAGTATCATCTAAACTTGATTTGTTCATGCTGCACGTCGGGAAGTGCGTCAAATCTTCATTTTTAAGTTGTTTTTCCCAAAGAACTAGTTGACATTTGAATGCTTTAATTATGTCAAACATGTTCGTAATGATATGATCTTTTTCTTGTAACGATAAATTTCAATCGGTTAAGTGTTTGGTTTATATCAACCAAGAAAAATAAATCTTGTATCCATATTGGATAGTAAAACAAACTTACGTCTTGATTTTTCGTTTTAAAAACTGACATATTTCTTCTTTCAAATCCCAGAATTGTTTGAGAATCTTGGAGCAAGATAACCAACGTACCTCGGTATAGTAGGACAAACCCGAATATTCACTATCTAACTCACTTAAGAAAGCAGTGAATTGACGCTGATTTAAACCTCGAGATCTTATAAAATTTATAACTTTTTTTATATATGACAAAACATTCTCCATATTTATTACTTTCGTGCATAGAACTTCTTGATGTATAATACAATGCATATGATGAATGTTTGAACCGTGAATTTCACTAAGTTTTTTTCTTAGTAATGCTACGAAGCCCTTGTTTTTCCCGGTCATTGATGGAGCGCCATCTGTAGCTACAGAATTTAATTTTGCCAAAGGTAGATTGTATTTCTGCAGAAGTAAAAAAACACAAGTAAATATATCTTCTCCTGTGGTAGTACCAGGCATCGGTATTAGTTCCAGTAATTCCTCAAAAATGTTAAAATTCTTGTCACAAGAACGAAGAAACACTGCTAATTGAGCTTTGCCACTAATGTCCGTGCTCTCGTCACAGGCAATGGAGAAACTTTCGAAACTAGATGATTTTGCTTTGATCTGATCACTTAAATTCGCGGCTAAATCAGTAACTCTTTCCGCAACTGTATTTCGAGACAATGAAATTGATTGAAAAGCCTTCACATTTCCAGGACAAACAATTTTCTCCAGCTTTCATTAGGCATTCCTTGATGAAATCACCGTCAGTAAAAGGCTTCGAATGTTTAGCTATCAACTCGGACAAGACGTAGCTTGCATGTACCGCCGCTTCACATTCTTGCAATACTTTACTAAACATGGACTGTTGTTTTTTTCACTCCTAACTTGAGCTCTTTCAACTTTTCTTCTCTCATTAATCTTTCGTAATTGTTATATTTCGATTTGTGTTGTTCGTAATGACGTTTAATATTATATCACTTTGGTACATTAATAGTATTATTACATATCAAGCAGATTATTTTATCTTTTATCTTTTATTTCACAGCAAAAATATTCTAATTCCCATTTTACTTGGAATATTCTATGTTCGTCAGCGATTTTTCGTTTAATTTTACTACCACTTGGTTTTGATATAGACATACTGAATACAAAGGGCTGGAATAAACACAGTTAACGTTAAAAAGTTAACAAAAATTTATTCTTTCCACAAGAGATAAATCAAAATGCTGAAAATTTCTTCAAAAATATTCTAACAATATCACAAAATGTCAAACGTTTAGCAAAAATCAATTCAAAACAGAGAAACTAATTCTATCTCACAGCGAAATCGCTACAAATCAATCACAGCATTAAGTAAACAAACAGTTCGCTAGAACTACAGCTACTACTGAGATGAGTTGTTTGTTCTCGGCTTTTATAAGCTTTATAATTAATTTCTCGAATATACTGGAAACATCTATAAATATCTGGATTTTTGTGGATGGCAACAGCAATTACGAGATATTTATTTATTAGGTATTAAATGCACGCGCTGTTCTTTTTTATTTTAACCTTCCAACGCAGCTGTCTTTTCAAAAATCGTCTGCGTTGCTAAGGCAACATGAAGCAAATCTAATTACAATTCTAATAATCTAATTACAATTCTAAGTAAAAAAACCTAACTAAATAAATAACTATGAAATCCTTAACAATATGAATTAAGTAATAATTAATAATAAAGCAAAGTGCATGCACATGCATGCACCAATATATCGTACAAAACTATGATTGGAAAACTGAGACCATGAGTTCGGCCACATTCGGCTATCGGGGGATGCGTACAAGTTCTGAGTGCACGTGTCCCCCAAAAGCCGAAGGTAGCTGAACGCAAGCTACTCACACGCATTTGTAATTTAAGTAGTAGTGTGTGTGTCAGCTCGCTGTGAGTAATCTAACAACACTGAATAAATTATCGTTAATTACTTAGCAGTAAACATTTCATTTTTTTCTTCGTCGATATGTTATTTTATTATTATATATTATTTGCCGATATATTGGCCGGGCCGCAAAAATATTTATTGTTGGCCGCGATTTTGACATCCTGCTCTAGGCTTGGTGTCGCCCTTGACCACTGCTCACAATGGCGTTTGCTGTTCTCAATAGAATGTTATTTTCCGATATAGATAAGGGGTTTTGAAATCACAGAGTTATTTTATTAATAACAATACGCACCTGCCCAGTAAAAAGGACTTTTCTCTGACCTCAACACACTTGCTCCCCAAGCTAGTATTGTGATTTTATAAATTATTTCCTGTGGTTTAAATTTAATGTAAATATACTTTGCTGTAATTAAAAATAGAAATCGCATAAAGTTTTATTTAAATTAAAAATATTTTCTGAATATTTTGAGACGAAATACGAATAAAATAAGTATGAATGGGAAACGAATGATCCGTACCAAAGCCAAAAAGACCAAGCCCTCCCCTCATAACACTAGAAAACCACAAATGTCATTGTGCCAGATGAAAAGAAACTAAATAATGCTTGACATAAACCGGGGAAATTTAGATCCAATCAGTGTACATTTTGTAGCACTAGGAAGAAACATCATGGAAGATACATGTGCGAAACATGCAATGTGGGTCTATGCATGTGCTAAAAAGACAAAACATGCTTTGAACAGTGTCACAAAAAATATTTGTTCTTTGAAATTAAAAAAAAAAAAAAAAAAAAAAAAATTCTTTTTTTAATCCTTATTTTACTGAGTTTTTTAATCCATGTAGCCAAACGTCCTTATTATGTAGATACTTATACTTTCACTGCTATAGAAAAATTACATAAATGTTTATTTTTAAATTTTTTCTGACAATTTAGTTTGTAAAATAATGTAAATATATATATTATGTATTCTTAATGCATTGGTTTTAAAAATTCGTAAAATTCGTCATTTATGGAAATGCGCCTGGAAAAGTAGTTTTTCTTCCTACTACCTAGGTTAAGTTCCTAGACGTGCAGTGGGTTTCACATGCGCCCTCCACCCACAAAACAATGGGCAAGAGTAGATTTTTTAAAATTCATATATTATTTGTCTCTAGGATTATAATATTCAATTTCTAGAGTTTTTAGTTAAAAAAATTATAAAAATAATATCACATGCGCCAAAGAGTTAATGGCATTCTTTTTCTTACTAAAACATCCATCATTTGCATTTGTTATGAACTAATAGTTACTAAATATTTTCAACAAATGTAAATATAACTGACCTTTTACAAGCTTCAGTGATGTCTGATTTGTCACCAAATGTTGGATAAAGGCAAAAGAAATCCAAACTGTTTCTTTTAAGAACTGTGTTTATTACTTTTAACAACAGAACTAAAGTATTTTCAAAACAAACACATTCTTAAGATATATTAACAGTTTTCAAGAGCTTATTCAAGAGCAACTTAACTCAAGAATATAAAATGATAATAAATAGGTGGCGCTTTTAATCACATTAATAATGCAACACATGAACCAACCCCCTTTCCAGCCTGTGTTGTTGAAGTAAATCCACTTTTCATAACAAGTGACGATCCAGTCAAGAATTTTGTCCTTGCTTTGATATTCGAGCAGATTAGTGCAGGCCTGGTATCTGCTTGCATCAGCTCATGCAGCACCCAGTGATTTAACTTGTATATCAAGTTTATGTGATGCATAGCGCAACTAATGTATATGGCAATAATATCTAACTTCTTTATCAAGCTCTTGAGTGGTTGCATACTGATCTTCTTCCAGAAGTTCTCGTAGGTGGGCCTTATTAGCATCATTAGGCAGGCCAGAGTGCTCTGCTTCTTGAATGTCATAGTCCTTGTTTTTGAACTTTTGGTACAAAACCTTCATATGCAACAGAACTGAAAGTAAATAATGGTTCTAATCTGGTAACATGATAGTTCCAATTCAAACACCTTGTACTTAATGATAATGCTACTTTTTTACAAATTTCACAACACAGTGTTTTAAAGCACGTCTCTTTCTTTTAAATGCCAAAAATCTTTTGACAAAATACAATGAAACATGCCAACACAAACTGTTTGCTCAGACGATATTTGTGGTGGCAGGAAACTTTTGTTAAAACCCGCTATATTTTTCTTGAAAGGTTAATTTTCATATCTGCCATTCTGAGTTTTCTGAAAAATCAATTTTTTTTTTTTTTTGGTTTACATTCAAAATTAGACACAGATGACAAGCATTTTCAAATTAAATGTTTATAAAATATCTTAATTTTACTGCATTTATTTGATTATTTATTTTGAAATAAAAAGGTATTTTAACTTTTAGGTACTGTCTGGTCTGAACGAACTGCGTAAATCAAAAACATTTTGCGATGTTTCTCTGTGTGTGGAAGGAGAGGAGTTTCCATGCCATAAAGTGGTCCTTGCATCATTCAGCTCATATTTTAAGGTATTTGCATTGTATCTTACAAAATAAGATCTATACATTCTTTCCTGTTAGCAGGGTTTTTTTTTACCTTTTTGCATTTATGTCACTTAAAATTCAATAATGAAATCACTACATTCTTAAAAGCAGCTTATGTTTAGAATTCCCTATACAGTGTTCAGTACTGCATACATTTTCTGTTCCCCCCCCCAGTATTTTCTCAGTTTTTCATATTTATGTTCAGTTGTTTTTAGTAAAATGATTAAAATTTTGATTTTTTTAAACTTTATTTATTAAATATCACTATCTTCACACTTAATGTCATGTAAAACAGTAAAATCACAAAAACAGCATATCTTTAGAATTCCCAACAGGGAGTAAAGAGTAAGTATTTCTTTTTTATATTTGTTATATTATTTCTTTAAAAATAATACATGGGATAAGATTTGGTGGAAACAGTCTTTTATTTGCATTACCATATATTTTTTTTATATTCACTAAATTAGTTCTTTAAGAATAAAATACAACAATAACATTTAGTGGTAAAAATCCTTTTATTTGAAAATTAATATTGACAGAAGTGTGAGGATCAAGAGTAACAGTGCCTCTGATGCTACAAAATACAGGACACTTTATAACTTTCAACACCTCCTCCCCCCAAAATTCATGAAAACATGTCAGTGAGGCAATGCACCATGTCATTAAAAAGTATTTGGGTAACTCATAATGTCAACAAAAATTATTTGGCATTCGAGGTATACACGTAGAACCTAGGCACACACATTTATTTGAGTACATGTGGATTTGCACTTCAGTGTTTAATTCAATGGTCAGTTTTACTTCCTTGTGCAAACTAAAGAAAGTATTATAAATGCGGAAGATTTCAGACATATATGTATGTACCTATGTATTTCACATAAATTGAAAACAGTTATCCGTAGAATGTTGAAATTATGCATATGGGACTGTTATAAGAGTGAGCTATGCATCAATCATTTTTTGCAATCAGCAGTGTAAAACTTTGCTCGAAGAGTTTTTTGAATTTTTCATGTAACTCAAAAACGGTTAAAATTTTGTATATAGGAGTGCTGTAACATCTAGTTATGCACCTCCAATTTAGGCTCCAGATCGCCTTTTTCAAAATGGCACTTTACTTTTGGCATTCTGAATTACATTCTGAGCATTTCATAAAGCTTTATCTAATGCCTGATTACCTATTGTTGATTTTGTTCTTTTTTTCCTGTATTATTATTGTAAATGTTTTCTGTATCTACATTTTCTACTTCATTGGCTTCATTTTTCCAGGTCGAAAATAACAAAATTTGTTCATGGTAATAATTGAATGAATCTTGTCTAACTTATACCATCTGTGCCTAATAATAGGTGTATCTATTAAGAATTTAATTTAAAATTTTTTGGTCAGTGTTCAGATAATTCATCATCATTATCTTTTACTGTTTTACATTTTGAATAAGTAGAAACAAAATCTGCTAAACATATTTTCAAGTGTTGGCAGTCTATTGGCATATTTTATTATGCCATTATCCATGAATATTTCAGTAAAAGGAGAATTCAGTTTTCGTAATTCAGCCAGAGACTTTGACATTAAAGCACATTCATTTATTCGACTTATGTTAATATAAATTGTGATATGCTGCTTCTCATGCAAAAATTAAATTTCTGTTAAAAAATGCATTAGTAATTTTGAAATTTTTCTTTTACACTAATAATCATTATAATTAACATCAGATTCTGCATGACATAAAAGTTTAGACAGACCTGCAGCCATTTTTATTTCCTTGTACAAAATAAAAAGGAAGTATTGTAATCGCAAAAATTTTCAGACATCGTATTTCAACGAAAATATCCATTTTGACCGCTATCAAATGCAATTTAACGGTGTTTTTCCATGACATCTGTACATAACGACAGAATAAAAAACTCTTTTCCACCCCAAAAATAATAAAACTGATTTAAAATTAATTCTAAAGAGAATTCTTCATGCCGTCTGTACGTGCGTACTTGTCTCGCATAACTCAAAAATGAGTAGCCTCTTAACATTGAAATTTTGTATATTGGACTGCTTTAACATGTACATGTGCACCTCGTATTTTGGTTGCAATCGGCCGCACCAAAATGTATAGTGTATAAATATATATATATATCCACTCTGTAACCGGCTCAATGATCTCAGTTCTTTACTCTTATATGTTTGTAAGTGGGCATTTTTTGCTTTAAATATGATTGAATTGTGTTGTTATCTTCTGGTTAAGGTTTTTATGCCTTTAGTAAATCTGCATGCAATATTTGTAGAGTTATCAACAATTTAAAACATGTTTAAGTGCAGCTAAGCCTAATTAATTTTGCGATGCCAGATGTGTTTGTTTACTTTTGAAATTTGGCAGAATCGCGGGTTTGTTGCCAATCTACAGAAACTGAGCTTTGTAACAACAAAGATAACGCCTTTTATTATTGCGAATTAAATCACACTTAAATCCATTCTGGAATTTATTCGAGGAAATATCTGTTTTAAGATTTACTTCGTAATTTTTAATGTAGATATTTTGAGTTTTTATGTATTTTTGCCTTGTCGGGTAGTGAGAACTGAATTAATTGAAATGAGAACTATGAATTGTCTGTGAAAAATTTTCTTTTTTGTTTTGTTTGCGAATTTTTTATACGTCGTTTAGATATTATAGTATTTGAATAAACACATGGCACGATTAGATAATTCTTCAAATGATAAAATTTATATGCATTCTGAGTTATATAATATGAACAAAATGTAATGCTGTTAAGTGAAACCTAGTGCCAGAGTGTCCACTATGGTAAACAAAAACAGTCAAAAGCCGTTAATTCGGACACCCATAACCGGACCTCAAAGCTAAAAACTTTCTGCGCATCGCCGCGTGACACATGTGCATAGGTTTACGCGTGCGCGTAGACCTTTACCACTGCGCATAGGTGTGCGCAAGCGCAGAATATGTTTTCGCGTGCGCATTTTACGTATAACGGACGGTATAATCTAAATTATCTACTTATCTATTTCAGTAATGTAAGATTTCGTTGTCCTTAATCTTCATCGATCGGGCTATTATTTTTTGCAGACTGTAAGAGCAATTTTATAAAGTAACTTGAACTCGATTATGTCAAATAGAATTCGAATTCTGGAGCCCCCAAAGGCGTACAAAACGAAAATATGTTTCGAGTCCATCAAACAAAAAAGTGGAAATTGCTGCAAAAATGGATAAAGACATGAAGAATGTGACAGAGAGGTTAGTGAAAATGAAAAATTTCTATTGACAAGTTAGTCGTTATTCTCGGCACAACAATTAACGGGACTTGAACAGCGGAACTTTGTAACTGAACAAGAAATTATGTCTGTTTATAGAATAAAGAGAAAGTATTATTACATAAACGAAGCAACTTAAAACAATACATTGAAAGAATGTTTAATAAAGTAAACAAATAAATATTAAGCTTTTTTTTTTTTTTTTTTTTTTGTAAATTTTGATACCCTTTAGATATAATTGTTCTTTATTTCATAATTAAGGTTCATATTTTTAATTTTAGAATTTCTGCATGCCATTTTACGAGATTTAAACTGATGATCTATAATCCGGAAAAATCGATAATCCGGAATCGTCGAAGTCCCGACGAGTCCGGATTAACGACTTTTGACTGTATAGTGAATTTTAAAGAGTGCATTTATTCTATTGTGGCTTATGCGCTATAGACGAAGTAGATTTAAATTCAGTCAAATAAGTTTAAATGAAATGCAAGAAAAAATGGGTATAACTTAACAAGGAAGTCATGTGGTGTACACATCAGATTTTTACAACATAATTAATAATGTATGATGCTGTACTGTATTCTTCCAAAACAAACTGTATGCCAAACTAATTTGTCCCCTTCCAAAACAAAAATTATATTAGCCTCAGATGAATGTAATATGATTTTATTATAACAATTAATATTTACTTTTAAACGACTATGGTTTTGCACTCTTTTTAATGAACACCTTAAAGCTAAAATATACTCTTCTGCTATTATTTTTAATTTATTTAAAATATCTTCAAAAGAAAGATTTTTTTTTTGAAAATATGACACCAAACTGAGAATTTCAAAGTTTTTGAAATTTTGTCATTATCATATAGCTCTATAATCACTATCCTATTCATAACAGGATGTAGAAAATTAAATTGACATTTCTTGTTGCATTTTTATACCTTTGTATAAAAATGCAACAAGATGAGTATGTCTTGTGTATGAGTATGTCTGTGGCACTGAATTGATATAAAAAACATCAGTTTCATAACATTTACAAGTTATAAATGTATAAATAAATAAAATGCATTCTTTTGCAATTTAACTATTGAAATGATCATATATAGGCACATCTTTAATCAAAAGAAAGAAAAGAATTTTAAAAAAGTGTGTTTGTGCAGAGATCCACACTTGAAACTCTACCTATTCATAAACTGTTCAACTAAATATTCATCAAAAACACTATTTTCCCACTTTAAAAGTACTACGGTCAAAAGTCGTTAATTCGGACACCCATAATCCGGAATGATCTATAATCCGGACCTCAAAGCTAAGAACTTTCTGCGCATGCGCCTCGTTGGCATATGCTCACAGGCGTTTTACGCGTGCGCGTAAGACCTTGACTACTGCGCATGTGCGTGTGCGCAAGTGCAGAATACGTTTTCGCCTGCGCGTTTAATGTATAACGGACAGTGTAAGCTAAAATTATCTAATTATCTATTTCAGTTAATGTTAATGATTGCGTTGTTCCTTAATCTTCGAATTGGATCCCGCTTATTTTTTTGCAGACTGTAAGAGCAATTTTATAAAAGTAAACTTAAACTTTCGATTATGTCAAATAGAATTTCCGATGCTGGAACTTCAAAGGATCTACAAAACGAAAGTATGTTTCGATGTCCAACAAACAAAAAAGTGGAATTGCTGCAAAAAAATGGATAAAGAACATGAAGAATGTGACAGAGAGGTTAGTGAAAAAA